GAGTTAACTGATCGGGAGTGATGGTGAATGCCTCCCTTGCTCGCTCGATGCTAGACATTGTATCGTCGGAAGCGACTGCAGAGAAAGTGTCCGATACTTCATCATATGAGGATATTTTTATGCATCCTCTGATAATCCATATGTCGGATAGTTACCATTTGGAGCCGAGATATACACTGGGATATTCTTGGATAAAAGTTAGGACTGGTGTTGGTTGAACGTCGTTTTGACTTTCCTTTATCAGCCATGTTGATGGTGACTTCTGGGAGTTTGTCATCTTGAATGATCGATCTTCTCTTGCGGAAGCGTCTTGATTTGGGCTTTGACACGTTGGTGGAAAGCCTCTAGAATACCGAGACCCTCTGTGGAGCGGTCTTGGGGTAGCTACATTCTGATAGTACTGTCCTGATAAGCCTCTCACATGGACAGTGAGAGGTAATTTCTCGGATACTTCTCATCTAAGATTTGTTTACACCCCTAGCCTGATAGTACAACTCATCGACATGATGACCGGAGCAACCTATCGCTGTTTTGTGTGACTCCCCAGGTATAATATCATCTTTCGGTGGACACGCATTCTTCTGGGGATGTGAAGCCTTGTTGGCGTTTTCAGGAGTCGCAAGTTTGGAACCACCCCCTTGCGAGTGTGGAGTCTTAACGGGCTCCTGGACTTCAACATGGACCCCTAAACGGGTAATCACAGGAATTTTTCCAAGAAAGGATGGCTTTGGTTTGATGGGAGGATGCATACGAGCCCTAGTCTTAAGAGCCACTTGGGTTTTATTTACCGGGCCTAAGCGTTCTTTAGCAGGAGATTTGCCTCGATATTCGTGCAAAGGACCAAGGCGATCTGCCATCATAATCTTAAATTTCGATATGTCAACACTGCTGTGAGGCTTCACTGGAGGTATAACAGAAGAAGAAATAGGATTAGGCATCGACGAAGGCAAGGAATCGACCACGGGGGAGTTGGGTTGGGCGAGACATGGTGAGGTGTCTCGACCTTGGCCGAGACACCCTACTGTGTCTCGGGTTGCGAGACAGTTACACTATCTCGGCCATCAGAGACCTCTTTTGCTATCTTCACACTTGATTTTCGTGCGATCTTAGACTCTGGCATCCAGATCTTGCAGGACTTTGGTGGTTCTTTGGTCACTTCCTCCTTCTTCATTTCTTGTGCCTTTTGCACAAGAGCACGAGCATGAACGACACGTGCATGGGCTCATGCTCAGACACGTGTGCAGCGCTTCTGGATGCGCTCCATGAGAGTTGAACGAGTTTTTTTTGACACAGACTTATTAATCGGTCGACTGCTTGAAGGAAACATCAGTAATATGTCGTTGAGGTGGCTGGGTCATCTGACGCCTCCTTGACTCTAGATCCACGTAGTAGCAAATTTCGTCAACCTGCTCTAAGGCTTTGGCGAGCTGATGAGCGAGACGTTTGTGCTGTCTCTGACAAGCTCTCTTTGTCAGAGTTGGCGAGCTTTCATCAAACAATTCTTTGACTAGGGAGGAGTTGTTACGAGCATAGATTCCGGCTTTGTTGGATGCCGAAGAGGCGTTGCGAGGGGAAGCCTCAACAATGATTGGACGAGATTCATCACCCTGGATCTTCATCGGAGTTGAAGACCAGCAAACCTTCTTTGAAGAAGAGATCTCTCTGCACTTACGGGGCAAGGAAGATCTTGAGGAGGAGGATGAAAGGTACTCCTCGAACTTCTCTTGGTCGAACTCGTACTGGACCGCTGAATCAATTAGGATCTTGATTGGTTGCGATACTTTGGTCTCAGCAGCGAGACCGTTGGTTCCTACTGTGGTCGCTAGCATGTTTGCATCGGAAATCAGTTTCATTGTAGAATCCATTTACAATCGTTTATCGACTTACAATAGATTCGATGGAGTGAGCCTTTTTATAAGACTTCTCACTACAAAAGAAACAAAAAGGAGACTTCCTAGAAACACACGCAGAAACTATTTATTGGTCGCTGCTTGCGTGGGATCTTTGTCTGTGCTGGGGACGCGTTAGCCCATGGGCGACCGATTCATAGATCCAGATTAATTGTGAATAAGGCTCGTTGTTCTTGTTTCAACTGGGAAACAAGAACAGAAGTGAATATCTCAGCGAGGTGAGATAAATACTCTTCTCGAAATCAAAGCGATGTTTGATCTCAAGAAAGAGGTAAAGGCCTGTAGATCTCTCGAAATCTTCCTCTTCATGCACGAAGTTCGCCAAGATCTCGTCTTTCTCTCTAAAATCTGTGGCTCTCTGCTCTCAAAATGTCAGCACCTCGCCTCCAAAGTCCAGATCTCGTTAGTTCCCGTCCGTCCCCATCATAAGTGCAGGGGGGTATTATAGGCTTTAGACACCGTGTTTAAGGATAATAATTCGTGATTTAGGTGTATCTTTAGTTAGTAACGACTTTCCCATATTTGAGGGCGTTCCCAAGGTAGTTAGGAAGCTAGTGGACCGCATGAATCACGAGAAAACATTGAAAAACACATTTTGAGAGTCTCCCTGTGCGAGACACCTTGTGTGTCTCGGGTGCGAGACACCCTTTGGTGTCTCGAATGCGAGACACACTATGGTGTCTCAGAATTCAAGACACCTCTGACTGTCTCGATATTCGAACATTGTCGTTTTTGTCGTTTCATCACTTCGACATTTTGTCGCTTCGACGTTTCGTCGTTTCGCGCTTCTTCTTCTTAGCATCAGACGATTCTCACCGACTCAAATTACGACGTTCATCATCTCCTCTTTGTTTTGAGCTAAGTTTGGAAACCTATTGATAATTTTCGACGCCTACACAGCTAAAGTAATGGTTGGATAATAACAGCCAGATAATAACATTATAACATCATAAAAAACTTGTAGCATCTCTTTTAAATTACTTAAAACTGTCAATTCATCTTCAATTATTCCATACATGCTACCAGAGCTAGAACTAGAAGTATAAAAAGCAATAAAATCATTTATAATTTCTTTATATTCTATTGCTACACTTAACATTGCATAGGTAGAATTTTACCTATGGTCAATATCTTTTGGAATTAATCTGGGTTTTATATTTTTTCTTTTACAGAATTATTTTCATCTTTTAACTCTTTGTTCAGAAGCATTATGTGCATAAGCTACTGACCTAACCTTTTCTATCATGAGTTTAATTTTACGAAATGTATTTTGAACAATTAAATTTAAAATTTAATAATTTTACGAAATGTACTTTGAAAAAGATCACCACGACATGGCAATAGCAGAGATGTTTTGATATAATCAACAACTACATTATTATTATTTGCATTATCTTGTGAAAGAAAAAAATATTCTTTCTGATATTTCTAATTTTGTAAGTTCTTTAATTATTAAATTTGTAATATTAATACCAGTATGTGACTCTTCAAATGTAATAAAAAATAATTCTTTTAAATATTTACCAATTTTTATCAATCTTGTGTGCTGTGATACATAAATAACCAGTTTGTGCTTTAGATGTCTAAATATCAGATGTTAAAGAAAATTTATAGTTTAAACTTTGAAAATAAAAAATTATTTTTTCTTGTTCCTCCTGATAATATTTTAAAATATCACGTTGATAAATTTGACGAGAAATTTTTTTAAATGGGGGGTAAAAAACATCTGTAAATAAATCTTCAAATTCATCATCTTCTACTAATTTAAAAGGAAGATTTTTAAGAATGATAAACCTGATAACACATTTCCTGGCTTAGACTGCGTCATAATTCCAACTACCGAGACTACCAGAAGATGATGATTGTAAGAGCATAGATTGTCAGATATCACCTTGAGGCGTCTCACCTTTGTTGTGTTTATCTAAATGGCGTTTGAGGTGGTTGGTACCACTCTTATGATGAGCTTGGAAAATTCCACACATCACACTTAGCCTTCTAGGTGAGAAGCCTACCGTGTTCATCCTTGGTAACATCAATCTTCTCGAAAAAATTCCACACATCGGATCTCAGCCTTTTAGGAGCTCTTGGTGTAGTAGAATCATCGCCACCGGATTCGGGATCAACATCGGTAGGAGTAGGAGTAGCTGTACCTACTGTAGTAGGAGGACTTATTTCGGGAGTTGGGTTTTGCCCTTCATAATCAGATAAGGAAGCTATCTGATTGAAGAATTAGAGAGCTAAAACAATTATTAGAGAGTATTAAAGATAAATAGGTGAGTTTTGGATGAGAAAAACAAATGGAAACCTCTCTATTTATAGAGGCAGCCCCCTAGACAAATGACCAAATACCCTCAAATTTTGACTGTTTTTTGACCGTTTTTAGGGTATTTTGGTCAAAAGGCCGAAAATGGTCGTTTATGGCCGTTACCACCGGCCCACCCGCCGACATTTGTCATTAACCGGTCACTTAAGTGACCGTTTGGGCCGGCCAGCGCGTGACGAGGCGGCCCGGACCCAGGCCCGAAACCCGGTTTTGCTCGGGCCAAACCAGGGCCGGGCCTCAGGCCCATTTTGGACACCCCTATTGATGGCCCGGGCTCGGGCCTCAGGCCCATTTGGACACCCCTATTGGACGGCCCGGGCCTATTGACGGGTAAAATTTTAGGGACAATTGACAAATTAAGATCTGAGGGACAAATTTAGAAATACATACAATTTTGATGGGTATATATTGAGGATAAAAAAAACCCTTTAATAGCAAATTCGCTTGTCCTCTTGTCTTGATGAAGTTTCAGAACAACGCCTTAAGATGTTTAGGGGGTTAAGTGACATGTTGTAAAGTTCACGGGGTTACGTGAAATTTGCCCTAGTTTTCCCCTCAAGTCACGTCCCACAAATTCAAACTTGCACACCCAAAAAACCTCCCCTCCTTCATGACACCGCCACCTCCACCACCACAATCAACCTCACCAAATTCATCCGCCAAAGCCCCAGATCCCTCTCTCCTCCGTCGCGCCGCCTCCGCCGCCTCCGCCGCCTCCGCCGGCGACTTCACCACCGTCCTCTCCTCCTCCCCGCCCTCCGCCCTCACCCAGCCCTACAACTCCCTCTCCCAATCGCCATCAAACACAACCGCTTCGACACCGTCGGAGCCCTCTACAAACACATGCTCCGGTCCTCCATAACCCCTCAAGTTTACACGATCAACCTCTTTATATCGGCGTTGTGCGATTCGGGCCGATTGGATTACGCCAGTAAAGTGTTTGATGAAATGCCCAAGAAAGAATGTGTACCAAATGTGTACAGTTTCGGGATTTTGATTCGTGGATACTGTAGAAATGGGTTGAGTTTGATGGGTCTCGAGGTATTGGATAGAATGGAGAGCGTTGGGCTCGAGCCGAATATGGTGATCTTTAATACTTTGGTTTCGGGGTTTTGTAGGGAAGGGAAGGTTGAGGAGGCCGAGAGGGTTGTGGAAAGGATGAGGGCTCGAGGGTTGAATCCAAATGTGGTTACATTCAATGCTAGGATTTCGGGGTTGTGTAAGGCGGGTAAGGTTTTGGAAGGGTACCGGATTTTTAAGGATATGGTGGAGGATGAGGAGGTGGGTTTGCCAAAACCGAATCAGATCACATATAATTTGATGCTTGATGGGTTTTGTAGAGTTGGGATGATGGAGGAGGCGAAAAGTTTTGTTGAGTTGATGCGAAAGATTGGATGTTTTGAGAAGTTGGAGAGTTATAATACATGGTTGGCGGGATTGGTGAAAAATGGAGGGTTATTTGATGCGAGTGAGTTGTTGAATGAGATGGTTGGGAAAGGAATTGAACCTAGTGTGTACTCGTATAATATTGTGATCGATGGATTATGCAAGCAGAAAATGATTCCTAAGGCGAGGTCAGTTATAAGTTTGATGAGAAATAGAGGAGTTTTCCCAGATATAGTAACATATACTACTTTAATTCATGGATATTGTAACGAGGATAATGTTTTTATGGCAAATAAGACTCTTGATGAGATGGTAAATAATGGTTGTTTTCCAAACACTTTCACTTGTAATGTCTTGTTACAGAGTTTATGGAAAGAGGGGAGGATTGTTGAGGCAGAAAAATTGTTGGAAAAGATGAGGGAGAAAGGGTATGGATTGGATATAGTCAGTTGCAATATAGTTATCGATGGTCTATGCAAGAATGGAAAAATCGATAAGGCTACTGAGATTGTTAGCGGTATGTGGCATCATGGAAGTGCTGCACTTGGTGAACTTGGGAATTCATTTCTCGGGCTAATAGACAGTAAAGATAGTGGGCCCAAATGTGAACCCGATTTGATCACGTACTCAGCTTTGATTAATGGCCTCTGCCAAGTTGGAAGGCTTGATGAGGCCAAGAAACTGTTGATTGAAATGATGGTGAAAAACATTACCCCCGATATAGTTATATACAATACGTTTGTTGGTGGATATTGTAAGCATGGAAAAGTATCATCAGCCTTTAGAGTCGTTAAGGAAATGGAGAAGAAGGGATTTAAGCCGAACACAAAAACTTATAATTTGCTGATGTGGGGTTTAGGAAAGAAGCGCAAATTTAGTGAGATTCAGGACTTGATGAAAGAAATGAAAGAGAAAGGAGTTCCTCCTGATGTTGTCACTTGTAATAACTTGATTTACTGTCTGTGTGAAGCAAAAATGGTGAAAAAAGCTGCGGCACTTTTAGATGAGATGATGCGGAGTAACATCTTGCCTAATGTAACTTCTTATAGGTTGTTGATCAAAACTTTTTGTAAAGCTAGTGATTTTGATGCCGCAGAAACTGTACTTCAAGCTGCTCTTACTACTTTGGGCGAGAAAGAAATTATATACAGGTTAATGTGTAATGAATTGTGTACATATGGAAAAGTTTTGGAGGCCAAAGAAATGCTTAAAGTTGCTTTAGATAAGGGATTTTCCATTGAGAACTTCACTTACAAATATCTTATTGAGGAATTATGCAAAGGAGGTAAAGTTGATGATGCACAAAACTTGCTGAATTGTATGCTTAATAAAGGCTATCAGTTTGACCCTGCAATTTTCTTGCCAATAATTGATGCTCTGGTTAATATGGGAGAGAAACGTGAAGCAAATAAACTCTCAGAACATATGATGAATATGGCGGCTCATCAGGATAAATCAATTGAAGGCTCTCATCTGTATCCTAACATGATGAAGGAAAGAAGTAAACTAAATCAAGATAGCTCACTTGGGAATGATTGGCGCTCTATATTGCATAGGTATGATTATTTTAATCTCTACAATTATTGTCTATATCTGTATCTTTACTTTTGGGAAAAAAGTCTATTGAGTGCCTTTAATTTATTTTTTCAGTTTGGTTTTTTGCCGCTGTAATAACTTCCATCTACATTTGCTTCTCCTTTTTATAGTTCTTACCAGCTACCCCTGTTAAAATACAGACTTTTCCAAGAACCTTGAACATTTTGTGCCCCATGTTACCCAATCACATGAAAGTTTAACAATATCATGTAAATAACAATCCTGATCGAAAAAGGAAACCATCATGAAAGAGCATTTCCGTTATCTCAGTTGCAAAATCTGTATTGGATGATTTAAAACAATATCATGGATATGTAAAAATTATTGCTAAAATAACAACTTTGGTACCTCAATTGTATTTTCTCTTTGTGGTTAAAATTTCAATAATGTATTATGAACTTTGTGGTGCTTTTAGAACCTATCATGAACTTCTTTTATTCATGTAACTAGAAAGCTCATGCTATTTTGCTGAAAAATTAAGATAGTTTTCTGAAAAAACCTAGATAACTACTACTGTTCCTAGAACTTTTTTGCTAGATATAAATGTAATAGTGTTTAACTTGAGATTCTTCTAGAAGTTTGTTACACATCTTATCATTATGTCATAAATGAAATATCATCGTGATTGGAGGAGATGAAATCGTGTTATATTAAGCTTTTATGCACTAAGATATTTTCAATCAATATTTGTATTTTTCTTTGTGGACATCGCTCAAATAGTCTTTTCTTTCTACATTTTCTGTAAAACTTACTCTTTACCTCAGTAAGTGCTTCTAATGCAACCTAGTTAAAAAAGAACCATATTTCCTTAGGTCAAGCAACACTATGTCAAAGCTAACATCTTTGCTTTTGCAGGGATGATGGAAGTGGGATAGCCTTGAAAGTTCTAAAGAGAGTACAAAAGGGTTGGGGTCAAGGTAGCATACCAATTCCTCGAACAAACAATATTGATTTTCTCCATGATTGAATAGGGCCAAGAGATCTTGTTGTTGTCAGTTATATACAAATGCGAAGCAAGAATATCATGTCCAATGCTTGTGTTTGATGCGTGCAAAATGGCATGGTATTTGAAGTGTTAATGACACCTAGACAGAAACAATGGCAGTGGAGAGGATGCTAAGTTTGAATTGCTGCTTCATCGGTTTTAAATATGAACTGAGGTTTCTTTCAGGTATTGTACTATTACTTTTTTCTTTTTCAAAAGCATTGATTTTTGGGTTTTTTTTTTAAATCGCTTCTTTGGGTTGTTTGAAGATGCATACCCTGTCCTATGGGGGTTTAGCAATTTATCATCCATGTTCTATTTTATTAACGTATACATCTCATAACTCTCATGTCAACATGTTTGTTCAATTAGTTTCTAAACTCCCTTGGAAATCCCGTGGGAATATTTTCGGCGAAGGCTTAACTCTTATCATAATGTGATTCCCACAGGAGTCTAAAACTAAGGAAAGGACATGTCGTCACGGGGGACAGGAAAAGTAATTGCTAATAAAATAGAACACGAGTGATAAGCAGCTAAATTTCCGTCCTGTAGAGAATGTATCTTCAGATAACCCTTGATTTTATTTTTCTATTTTTCTATTTTTTATTTATGGTATGTAATGCAGTGATAGTTTATATTCTGTTTCTCAGGAAGCTGCCAAGCTTACTCATTTACTTGACAGAACATTAGAAAACGGGGCAGAAAATTATGAGGCACAACACAGTATGCAGTTTAAGGTGAGATCTGCTTAATAGTTCACTATGTAGCACGGACACGGATCCGACACGGCCATCCGACACGCCGACACGAGGCAAATCCTAAAAAATACATAGGATACGTGTGTTCGACACGTGTGTCCGACACAGACACGACACGACACAGCTTCATGTTATGCGTGTCCGTGCTTCATAGATAGTTCATACTATGGTGGATTTATGATTCCACTTTATAATTTCTAACTTCTTTGGAATCCCATTCAGGATCATACGTGTGTACATCGAAGTTAACCAATGGGGAACCAAAAACAGAACTATTTGCAGTTCTGAGAAATTTGATATGTAATGGAACAGAGTGGCATCATAGATCTATTTGTACAGCTAGTTGGGCATTGAGGATATAAGCATCAAGCTCCAAGGTTGATACTCCATCGCAAGGATTGCCATCCTTTTTACCCCCCTCTCTTTTCTTTTCAAGCTAATAGTTGTCTTTTTGTTTTCATTTTTTCAGATGTTGAGGAGTTTTATCTTGTTTGGATGGAGATTCTTCACAGTAGAGGTCACTTCAATAATCACACCATCTACTTTTACACACAGAGTTGAGTTATCTTTGGTTAAAAATGAAAATAGTAGCAATTTGGTGCGGAATTGAATTGTGATTGTCTAGATAATATTAGAAAGTTATGATTGAGAGAGGTGATAACTGCATTGTTGAATAGCATTATTCAGGCTTCCATGTTATTCTCCTGTAATTATTCTTTTCTCCTTTTGTTCACTTATATTTAACATGATATGGTTAGTTACGTTACGTATTTGTAGATAATGCCATCGTCTGTCAATGTAACTGCCAACCAGATTTAACTAATTATATTTATTTTATCAAATAAACTCAAAATACTTATTTATATGGTTCATTTAAATGGTTAGGTGAACTGAACTTGCAGATTTATTTATCCATTATTAATCTAGTGTATATATATATATTAAAGAAGTGTGGTTCGATTTTTTATTTATTTATTTTGGAACTAGTTTATAGTGTCATCTAAGATTATTTTGGCGGCACCATGCATTCATGAATTACAGTTAAAAATTGCTATCAGCAGAGTAGAATGGATATTATATATGGATGTTATGTCATACCATAAATTATCCGGACATAGGTTTGAACATACATTTATTCAGTGATGTTACTTGTCAGTCGACTTTTATCTATTCAGCTTTAGAAGATTTGATATCTGTGTAGTTATATTTATTCGGTTATTTCTTGAA